TATATATATATATAATAAGAATAAATAAAATAAAAATTGATAATCTTTGTAAACCAAAGATTGCTTGCACTTGCAATTTTTACACAGACCTCAAACTTAAACAGAGAGTAAATATCAGCTCTATCTCAAACTTATTCAAGAGTCATACTCATCCCTCATCTGAGGGATCATCTCATAGTTGACACCTCAGATGAGCTCAGTCATAATTAGCATTTTTTGCCCACATTCACAGGTTTTTATACTGTGAATATGGTCACTATCTGTTAAAATAGAGCCATGTTCAGGGCAGTGCAGAAGTACCCGTGTACTTCTAAATATCTTTGGTAAGGATATATTTTTAAATTAAAATCAAGGTTTTTGATTTTTATCTGCGGAATTTGGAACTTTTTGATCAAAGTGGTATACCTTGTTTGGGATGAAAGTCGTCCTCAAACATATCTGGATCACTAAAACATAAATACACTAATTTAATCTTATGTTTAGGACAACTGTGTGAAACCACCTGAACTGATGAACTTGAAGAGGATCTCCTTGTTCAGTTTGTTTTCATTAGCCAGGGCATATGATGTCATTGCAACAGAATAAGGGTTAATGAGGCTGGGTAGACGCTTCTCCAGGTAGGCCACTGCTTTATTAATACTGTTTTGTAAACTCTGCACATGAAGCACAGACACCAAATGAAATATATAAGATAAATGCAGAAGATAAGATAAATCAATGAGACATAGATGCAAATATAACATCCAGATATAGTATATGGTCTTTGATATAACTTTCCTAATGCCAGTGGGCTGCTGTTCTCCAATTTATTTGTAAATTATATAGAACAGTCAAATTGTTTATCTACACTATGTATTTCTTTTTATCTAGTGGATGTACAGTGCATGTAGGTATATACTCACATTAACAGAGGACCTGCAAATTTCTCGAGACTCCTGCATAGCAATCAGGCAGAAGGCTGTCATGGAGGCATCTGAATCTGTTCCTAACAGATCGCTCTACACATACACATATACAAAGGTAAACATTTCATTTTTGTATACAACCAAATTTAATAAATAATTTTTATTAAAATTAGGAAACTCACACGCATCGATTGACTGTACACATATCCAACTTCTTTAAACATGCCATCAGGTTGCTGCGTGTTCAGGATGAGAAACTTGATGGCATCACAGATCACATCTTTATCTACTCTGATCAGGTAATAAGCCATTGCAAAAACCTTGGCAACGTAGGCAGTCAACCTTACAGAAGAGAGAACATGAGCACCTCTGGATTATTTATTTTTCCCTAAAACAATACATCCATTATCTAACAATCATTTTGGAGTTTTGCTGACTCACCAGGTGCTGCCATCTTCGCTGGGGAAGACTGCAAAAGAGCCATCTTGCTTTCGATAAGTAAGTTCAGTTGTATAACCTGGACAAAACCAAAGGCAAAACATTTCATTAATTACCAGTCAACACTTGACTGAAATTTGCTGATTTGATACCATTTTGGAGAGCTTGTCTGCATGCCTCTGTGTGTTAAGCTACCTGTTGTTATGTGCTGAAGAGCTGCGTTACGCTTTTCAAAGCCCACAAACTCCCACTGATTTGTTTTGTCCAAATACATGGTTGCAATAACAGGCAAGGTCATGCGAGCCATGTTCTGTTCTCCGC